ACCTTTCTTAATTAAATAAAATAATAAGTTAAGGGGATGGAGAGCTAGTTCATCAGCCAAAAGCGCTGGCTGCTTTTGCGGAGGACCTGGGTTCAGTTCCCATCGCCACCACAGGAACAGCCCTCTATAACTGCAGTTCCAAGGTATCCAACACCCTCTTCTGGCCTCACGGGCACTGCTCACGCAGGGTGACAGATATACATGCAGACAAAATAGGCATACACATAATAAAATAATAAATAAAAATCCCACAAAATGTGACAGTCCCATACTAAGCAACTACGTTGACTAGCAAATGGCTTGTTTTCAGCTGGTTGAGTTCCAGACATGTGACTTTCCTCCTCAGGCACATTCTCCTGGCCCTCTTCCTAAACAGCATTCTTTCCAGGGAAAACTTTAAAGATGTCCTGGGAATGTGAATCCTCTCTGCCAGGCCTTCTCTTGATCCTGCATACTCTGTTTCCCTCTTAAGGTCCAGCTTCCTGTTTTGGTATTAGACATCAAACACTGCTGGAGCCAACAGAGGGTGGCGCCTGCCTAAAACTCCATTTATCAGTGATTTCCTGTGACACCAGCTCCATAAACCTCTTGTCTGTCAACAGCTGAAGAATTCAGTGAGCCCAGGAACACACCCACAGCTAGGAACCTAAGGCAGGTCTAGATAAGCCAGGGTAATAAAGCTGCAGGGGCTGTGCAAAGCGCTGGCACCTCTAGGCACCATTAACCAGTCAGTAGGCATTTACCTCTCCTTTCCCTAAGGAACCTTCTGCCAGCTAATCTCACGTATCTTGGGATTCACTTCCTCTCTGCTGCTACACAGCTGCACTTTGCCCTTCCTTAGATTGTTACCAGAGCTTTTCGATTGTTTTTAGAGTTCAATCAAACCTGAGCCTGGCAGCCTCAACAACAAGCTGGGCTCTGCCACCCAAACTCCAAATGCCAACTGAAAAGACAAGCATGGAGCTAAAGAGATGGCTCTGCAGATAAGAAAGCATGCTGCTCTTCCGGAGGACCTGAGTTCAGTTCTCAGCACTCACACCCACCAGGGTAGCTCACAATTGTCTCTAACTCCAGTTGCACGGGATCTGGTGCCCTCTTCTGGTCTACTCCGGTACACACAGAAACATACATAAATAAAATTTAGAAAAGCTAAGTGTACTGAATAGATTTATGTCAGTTTGGCACAAAGTAAAGTCATCTGAACGGAAGGAACCTCAATTCCGAAAATGACTCTGGGGCTGGAAAGTTGGCTCAGCAGTTGAGAGCACTGGCTCCTCTCCCAGAGGACCTGGGTTCAATTCTCAGAACCCACATGGCAGCTCAACTGTCTGTAACCCCAGTTCCAGGGGATCTGGCACCCTCACACAGACATACATATAAGCAAAACACTAATGCATATAAAATAATTAAATCTTTGCCAGGCAGTGGCGGCACACTCCCTTAATCCCAGCACTCGGGAGGCAAAGGCACAGATCTCTCTGTGAGTTAGAGGCCAGCTTGGTCTACAGAGTTCCAGGACAGTCAAGGCTACATAGGGAAACCCTATCTCAAAAGAAGAAAGAAAAGAAAAGAAGGAAAAAAAAGAAAAAGAAAAAAATACCTCCATAAGATGAGGCTATAGGGTATTTTCTTAATTAGTGATTGACTGAGGAAAGCCCAGCCCACTGTGGGCGGGGCCATCCCTGAGCTGCTGGTCCTGGATTCCTTAAGAAAGCAGGCTGAACAAGAAATGAGGAGCAAGCCAGCAACCAGCATTCCGTTATGGTTTCTGCCATCAGCTCTAGCTTCTGGGTCCCTCCTCTGCTTGAGTTCCTGTCCTGATTGCCTTTGATGATGAAAGCATAAGCCAAATAAACCTTTCCCTCCACAACTTGCTTTGCTCATGCTGTTTTATTGCAGCAATATAAACCCTCCGTAAGACACTAAGACGGGATAGAAAGATGGGGAAATTTATAGAAATATGGGGTAAAAAGGAGTCCTTCTAGAATCTAGTCGAAACTCCTAAGACTGCAGCACAATTAGCATGCCCTTGTGAAGTTGCAGCCAAAGCGTTAATGTCAATATTTCTCTTACAGAGAAATACTTTCAAGTAAGAATGCTAACATGACAATGACCTAGGCTTAAAGCCAGAACATATATGACCAGTCAGGCAGATCTCCCCACTCCCAGACACTTTCTGAAAATCTCACAAAAATATTGTGTGTTGAACTCAGGCTGTGTCCTGCTGTGAGTCACTCTGTACAGTGTAAAATGTTCTTAGGCCTGTGCCTTGCCCTGGGAGACTCCATTTTAGGATGGCCTGTGCACCTGGGAGGATGGAAGGATACCTCTGCCCAGCTCCACCCACATGACACAGGCTGATAAATGACTTATTCCTGGAAGCAAAAAGAGTGCAACCCTATAAAATCATCAGGATGGTTGGGACAGTATAGGTATATAGGCATATTAACTAGCACAGTTGGGCAGTGGTGGCGTACACCTTTGATCCCAGCACTCGGGAGGGTGGAGGCTCTGGAGCTCTCTGAGGCAGGTGGAGCTCTCTGAGTTCGAAACCAGCCTGGTCTACAAAGTGAGTACCAGGACAGCCAGGGCTTCGAAGAGAAACACTGCCTCAAAAAACAAACAAACAAATAAACAAACACATAAATAAGAAAATAAAATCCTATCAAGAGGACCAGAGAGATGGTTCGGCAGTTAGAGACATTTGCTGCAAAGCCTGAAGACCTGCTTGACTTCAGGACTTCAGGACTGCACTGGCTGAAGATCCAGTCAATCCACTGGATTCGCATGGTAGGAGATGGCCAACTCCCACAGGTTGCCATCCGACCCCACCCCCAAAAGGTTATAGCATGTATGTGGCCACACATACATTCTGTGTGTATGTGTGTCTATGTGTGTGTCTGTGTGTGTACTCCTAACTGCTGAGCCATCTCTCCAGTCACCTGGTTTAATTTTTTAAGACAAGTTCTGCTGTAGCTCCGGTAGACCTCTAACTCACTATGCAGCCCACGCTGATCTTGAACTCCAGTCCTCCTGCTTCAGCTCCAGGCCTGAGATCCCACACTCAGCCTTAAAGGGGCTTCTAATGACAGACTACTGTCTAGCCAGCAAGTAAAGATGTCAAAGATACATGAAGTGTAATTACAGGTTACAAAACACTGTGATATGAGCTAAATCAAGGTGAGTTTTGCATCTGTATAGAAGACAGAAAAGTACAACCTTTGCATAGCATTCTCTTATCATACACAAGGACCAGAGCCTTGGGTTTCATACATCGGAAGCTGCAAAGGATCAACCAGAATCCTTGTAAGTAACAGTCACTGTAGCATCATGCTACACTGTGATAAAATCTTGAGATTTCCCCAAAAGTCTGGAGATCGACCCTGGGGCTCTGTGCCACTCAATATTGACCTCCTAACCACTGCGATGATCAAGCCAACTGCTGTAGGTTTGGGCTGCAAGAGGGGACAAAAGGCAGAACCGTCTTTAAGGATTACCAGGTACAAGGGGTGTGCTGGGCATAGGAGAGACTGAAGCCCCTGCCCGTCAGTAGAGAAGACTCAGTGACACTGTGGTATGACAGTGTGGAAACAAGAAGGAGACCTCACAAATCGGCGTGTGTCTGGTCAGAGATACGCTGGTTAAAAGCACTGTTATTAGCAAAGTAGGAGAGCACCTCTATGGAAGGGCTGCTGTAGGGGAGCTCCTCAGAGGAGGCTGGTCTTTTCACTGGTAGGAAACACCATTTTCTGGCCTTCCTGGTCCTCTGCCCACTTACCTTACCTGGTAGGTAACTCAGCCAAGGACAAACTGCATGGAAACAGCCCAAGCATTCTTCTCTGAGGTTCCACACACCGGGAGCCTTAAGGACCCTGCCTGGCAGGGACCGGCTAGTGACCGCAAAAGGTCACTCCTGAGAACTATGATGACATTATACAAAGCTCACAGAGTGATGTTGGTTGTTTCTTAACATGAAAGAGAAGATAACTATACAAATACTCCACCAAGCTTAACTATAGTAACTATCTCACTACAGCCTGAACACTCAGGGTTCTGCACCTTTAATGGAGACAACGCATTCATGATGCATCCTGATAGATCAGGGGAGGTGGCCTCAAAAGACCTGGACAGTGCCTGTCAAAGGTATGGTGAATGTTCAATTGTGCTGGCTCCTGCTGGCCCGTGTCCCCAGTGTCCCCAGGATGAGCACACTGCCTGAACCTCTCCATCTTTGACCTCCACCCTGCCTACCACACTGGTAATTCTCTTCTTTCTCTCCTGGGCTTTATATGCCCCAGCTGTAATGGAAACCAAAGCCTCTTGGATCACGGCTGTTTTTGAGATGGGGTCTCAGGTGGCATAGGGCAGCTCAAACTCCCTATGTAGAGCTGCAGATGACTTTGAACTTCTGATCCTCCTCTCACCTCCTGGATGCTGGGATTACCAGTGTGGGCCACATCTGTTTACCCAGCACTGGGGCGTGGCAAGCCTCATCGCCAGCCCCATCTTCACCTCTAGAGCTCCTCGTGGACGCTTCACAGGTGTCTTCCATCCATGTCTAAGTATACTCAGACCTCTCTCCAACTTGGGTGTCACTGTGCAACAATGTCCGGCGCAGCGGAAACCACTGTCTACTGCAAAGTCAAGATTAGCGCCACGCCCTATTTAATAACCAGGTTCCCCACTTTGATCCCTCCCGCGCTTAATGTTTATGTGCACACGCCCAGGGTACCACGTACCACGGCAGCATTCTTGACTCGGAGCCGACAGCGGCCGCTCCTCCCCGCAGGCCCTCTGCAGCCAGCCCACCCCAGGCACTCATGACTGCACAACATGGCCTTCTGGGCACTGGCTCCCCAGCCTTGTCCACTTAGCTTGCGTGTGACCATCCAAGCTGGCGCCTCTGTTCCCTCTTCTCAGTTGGTGGGTGCCATCTTGACTGCAGTCGGGAGAGCCCTCATCTACCCTTACTTCTCCTTCCCACAGACAGTAAACATCGCTGTTACATAAACTATTTTATTTAAATAAAACCAGGACTGGCCCTTCCCCACACACGCCAGCACACGCACTCGCACAATCATGTCCTCCTCGCGTCTGTTCTTCCTGAACAGCCACCTCAAACCCTGCAGGTTCTCATTGTGACCATCCTCAAACCTGAAAATTGGGAGATCCCATGCGAGACACGGGCACTGTGCTCCCAGTCCTGGGCAGGTGCTCTCCCCGTCCTCCTGGTAGGACAGGAGGTCAGCTCTCCAAGGCACCCAGATCTGGCGTGGCTTCCCCTCCCGCAACACAGGAGCACCAGCACCCAGAGCTTCTCTATGAGGCTGGTGCTCCTCACTCCAGGTCAACTCCTCCCACACAAGAAGGGCAGCTCTGCAGCCATGCTTAAAGGGCTCTGCAAAGGTTCCTGGAGTAGGTACTATCTGGCGTGAGGAAGAGTGATAGAGAGCAACTGAGCACCAAGTTCCCTAATGCCACCCTGTCGGAGGTTGCCAAGCTCCAGTTCATCTCTACCAAGAAAAAGCAAACCCAGTGCCACACATGGGGGGTGGGGGGGAAGGGTTTCAGCCTTGAGACTCTGACATCTCTAGCCTCCAGCATAGATCCCGTCAGGGATGCAAATGCACTAGCACCTTGGCAATGATAAGGGCTCAGCCCAACTGGAAAAACTCCACACAGACTGGCCGTTTGGACTTGGCCCCTGACCCTGTGTTGACAGCAGGCTTGATTCCCCAACCTGACACTGAATTAGGGACAAACAGCACAGCAGCTAAGGTCACAGGGTGCACTGACAGACGGTGGTGTCTTCCAGAGGCACATGGACATTTTACACACTGCTCACAGGCAGGGGGGACGGAAGGACAAGAGCAGAGGCTGCTGGGACTCAGCAGCATGTCTGGGACACCCTGGGGAGCTGCCTTCCGGGAAGACAGGGCCTGGACTCAAGCGTGAGCGCCTGTCCAACCACTTTTGGGCTAGGATACCCATGTTCTCACATGATCTCCTGAGTCTTCTAGACCAAGTTCCCTGAGGGGGAAAAGCCAGACAGATAGAAGTCAGGTTGGAAGGGGAAAGCAGAGAGACTCAAGTGCCAGCAAGGGGAAGAGGAGACAAGGCCAGAGGGCAAGCCTTCCAGGTGGGTAAGGCGAAGAGAGAGCTGCCTCCTGAGAGAAGGAACTGTGAGAAAGCTATGGACACAGGGGCTGAGACACAGCCGACCTTGCCCAGGGAAGGCTGCAGGCCAGGATCTGGGGCAGACAGGACTCAAGGAGGAGGAAAGGCCTGCGGGGCCCTGATTGCCCGTGGTAGAAATCAAAGCAGCTCTGGCCACAGCGCTACAGGCTGACACTGCGCTGGTGCCGGCCCCCTCGAACTCCACCATCGCTTCCCCGGCGACCCCGGCTCTGGGGTCCCAGCTCTTGGCCATCTAGGCTGGCGTGGTCCGAGAGGCCACGCAGGTGCTCCACTGAGTCACACTTCTGCAGGTCAGAGGCCACAGTGCGCAGACTCAGCAGGCTCAGAGTGTCCGTATCTGGGCCTGCGCCAGGCCCAAGGCTGCTGCCCTCTTCCAGGGCCCCGCCCTCTGCCCCTTCAATCCCACTGTCCCCATCCTCAATGCCCTCAGGTCCAGCTTCAGCCCCGACAGGGGAGGATCGCCGGGGGCCCAGAGAGTGAAGGGGCAAGCCCCGGCGCCGGGCATGAATCTGCTCGCTGATCTGCTCCAGGTTACGCAGGGCCACTGAGTAGCGGGTCTTGGCCTGTGCCACCTGCTGCTCCAGTTCTGTCACCTTGGCCTTGTGCTCCTGCAGAGGGAGATGGTTAACTCGTGAGATGTCTTCCGATCCCACTCAGCACTCTCCCCTGAGCCCTACCCTAGAGCCCCTAGAGCCCTCAGCACCTCTGAACTGCAATGCCCTTTCCAGCCCTGCTGTACCCTCTAAATGTCCCTCCTGACATGAGCCCACGCAGCCTTCCTCCCAGATCTTCACCCCATTGGCTCCCATTGAATCCCCTTATTCTCTACTCCTCTCCATCTGGCTGGTTCTCCCCCATTCCCAGCTCCCATCACTTCTCACTTTCTTTGGCTTCTTGATCAATGTTCTCTACCAGCACAAACCACTCACACCTGCCTCCCACTCCTACAGGGTCACTGTGAGCACATGCTAGGGCACCGGCTGGGCTGGCAAGGTTTCCCAACACTGACCAAAGAAACACACCAGCCCTCTCTCTGCCTGCCCATTCTCCCCGCTTAGCTACCTCCAGGATTTGGCTGAACTGGGCCTTGAGCTCGAAGTACGGGCGGCTCTTGCCAATGGCACGCCGGAGGGTCTTCTGCAGGGCCTGGACCCGAGCCTCAGCCTGCTGGCACAGCCGCGTCACACGCTGATGCTCCCGTTCACCTCGAAGACGCTCTTCCTCAGCCTCGTTCACCTGGCCCAGGTTGGGAGGGGGACACACATCAGTGAGCTGGCACATGTCCCTGGAATCAGCCCTAGGCTGCCCTGGGGGAACCTGCATAGGAATGTCTCTGCAAAGCCCTCCCCGACCCCCACTGTCTACAGAGTGAGACAGATAGGGATTCAGGGGCAGTGAGAGCTTCTTACCATCTCTTTTCCACACAGATCTCAAGCACACCCTCTCTAAACACCTCTCCCCTCCCCACCCCCCCAGTCTTGCCTATCATCACCTCTATGACCTGACCCTCAGCTCTGCTGATACCATGGAAGGATACCTACCACAGCCTGCTCAGTCCCTAAGCATGGCTGAATGCCCTCAAGCACACTGCAGCTGTGCAGCTACCACAGTTCTGAGGGACCCCTCAGTGACAATGGCGATGGGTCAGGGACAGGAGGCACTGCCTATGGAGAGCCACAGAGGCATGCTGGGATGGCCTAGTGTCCATACCCTCCCTATCTGTGTGTAGCCCAGAACAGGGGACGAATGAAGGCTTCAGCTGACTTGTCTCCCAGAACCAGCCAGGCTGATGGGCGCCCCCATCCCATAGGCTAACCACCCACCACAGCTTCAATGACCCTTCTCTCACTGCACTCATTTCATGAGGACCACAAGAAGACCAAGTGTCTTGCCTGGGCATTCAAACTAAAAGACAGTCAACTAGCCAGGAGCTGCTGCACGCCCTGCACATGCTGAAGGGGGCAGATGGAGCCAGGCCAGGGCCCCATTCCAGGCTACTTTAGGAGCTTGGAAATGGCAGAACATACACTGGCGGAGTGCAAGACCAGTGAAGGGAACAGTTTCTGGAGACAGGAACAGGGAATCGCACAGGTGAACCCAACATGTGAGCGCTGCCAGCGCCACTGCCTGGGAGGAGCTCATGGGCCAGCCCCACCCAGAAGGGACAGGACTGTAGAGGAGGCATTCTAAGAGAAACGGAATCATGGAAGCTCTGGGGGCCAAGCAGGGCAGAGGCTGGACAGGCTCCGCCATAAAGGAAACCAAAGCTGAAGAAAGGTTGGAGCAGGAGAGAAAAAGAGGTGAAGAGGTTAGGTGAAGGAACAGCAAAGGGAGCAGTGAAGGGGACCTGCAGGCAGCACCCCCTTACCTTACAGGTAGCATGGTTGAGCATCTCCTGCCATGTAGGGTCCAGTCGATTTTTGTCAGCCATGACACCCTGCTCAGCCACAAAGACCATCTCGCGGGCAGCATTGTGCATGCTCACAGCCCGCTCATACCGCAATGCTGCCTTCTGTGTCTCCTGCTGGGCCTGTGGGGAGAGAGCCATTAGGACGGGGAGCCCTGGGTGGCCCCCAGTCAGCCATGAGATCCTCAAAGGGGTAAGGACAAGAAAAAGAGGAAGGCCCACTTAGAATATCAGCTTCAGTCCCCAAACCACGCCAAGGGTGGATGCCACCAAAGCATATTCTACAGATTAGAAACAGAAATGTGGAATAAATACTAAGGAGAGAGATAATGTCAGTGCACGGTGGCCACATGAAATCTAGCCAGACTCAACATACACATACACATACACATAAAAACAAATATTTTTAAATAAAAATATTTGCATATATCAGGTTATATATATCGACATATATACACATAGATGTATATACGATGCTTATCAAATTTACATGAATTTGATAACAGATAACCCTGTTTGGGTTAGACTGCCATCTCTAAGATATATTATTGTTAAGTTTCAAACCCAGGACAAGTGGCTGAGCTGCCTAGTTACCATATCAAACAAAGCTGACCTGGCCTCCAGGTCCTCAAGCATCGTTCAGTCGCTACCTGTTACAGGTTATGGCTGGCATATGCCTGCCCTCTACCCTGAACTTTCCAGCCCAGGGGCTCAGCTGCCCTTCCCCAGAGGTTCGTCCCTATATAATCCAGACACTTTTGTTAGTTGCTCCTTTTCTACCTTTGGTCTCCTGGCTGCTACACCTGGTTCTCCTCTCTCTCCCTTGCCCTCCTCTTCTCCTCACACAGCTCAGGGTCATGACCACTTTGGACTCTCCCAAATGTGTCTGCCTCTGGCTATGCTCTCCCACATAGCTATAATAAACTTTCTCCTCCACTGTAGCTAGGAGAAGTCATGTCCTTTCCTTTTAATTTCTTTTTTTCATTCAATTATGTATAGGCACATATTCCAAATCTGAAAATCTAAAATATTTAGCTCAAAATTAAGATAAAGACAAATTCTCAGCTCATTGGCTAAGATCAAGTATAGTATCTGTAATCATTTAACATCTGATCCATCCTCCACCCAAAATTAGAATAAGGGATATTCAACCAGTACTAGACAAGCAAAAACCTGGAAGGAAACCCAAGCTTCCAGTTACAGGAAACTGACTAAAAGAGTATGTCTTACACATGGAAATAGCTTAGCTGGGCATGATGCCACACACCTTTAATCCCAGCCTTTCAGAGGCAGAGGCAGGTGGAACTCTTTGAGTTCAAGATCAAAGCCAGACTGAGCTACATAACAATCTCCAGGACAGCCATGACTGGAAGGAAGGATGAAAGAAAGGAAGGAAGGAAGGAAGGAAGGAAGGAAGGAAGGAAGGAAGGAAGGAAGGAAGAAAGAAAAAAGAGAGAGAAAAAAATGGTCACTGCACTTTTAAAGTATGACACGGGGCTAGGGGTGTGACTCAGTAGCAAAGCAGTTCTTAAAGACTGAGCCATCTCTTCAGCCCCACAAAGCACTTCGTTACCAAAAGGTGGCTGGCTACAGCTTCGGCATTATGTCATAACATACTTACACAGATAACATGAAGGAACAAAGATAGTACATATTTTTGTAGAATACATAACAAAATGTTTTTTTAAAAAAAACATAGAAATAGAAGTGAGGGAAAGCATGCCTGTTTAGCTGCCAAAGCACAAACAGAAACAGATCATGGCAACTAACAGACTGGCTTTTAGAGCTGGTAAGAACAAACACTGGCACATACGGGGTTAAGAGGCCACAGGAATCCAGGACTTTGAGATCTTCAAGTTCTGCATGTGTACATGTTTTTTAAAAAAATCAGACTGCTCATATAACGTCATCAGTCTCCTGCACATCTCTAAAAACAGGAACAGTTTGCGCATTTGACGAAGTGATTGGCATAAATTGCCAGGTCAAAGTTTTCTTCTAGGTTGAGGGATAAATGAGATTTGTACACAATATTGTAGAGACAACTCTAACAAACTTAGCAGTATCAATAAAATGTACAAACTCAGGAAGAAACAGGTGTAAAATTCCTGAGCCAACAGTCTGTTCATGTGTTTGCTTTCAAATGGATTATGTTATCAATTTATATTTCATTTAAAGTTAAACCTATCATATATGCAAATTTTAAGAATATCTGGAAAGCAAAGGAATGGGCTGCTGAGAGGGATGGGAGGAAAATGTGCTTTCTCCCCCTTACTATTTCTAAATTTTGCTTAATTCATATACAATTAGAAGCTCTCTTTTGTCATCAAATTTAATTAGTTCAAATGAAAAACTCTGAAAAAAATGCATGTTACCAAAAAGTGGTTCTCACAAGCAAAATATGGGTGTAAAATGCCTAGGCTGGATAAAATTTGCAATGAAACTTGAATTATGAGTAATAATATGCTAATAATACATACCTAATTTGATAATATAGTGTAGAAGCCACATTGATTACATATTTAGCGATAAAAAAGAACAATTTCAGTAATAATAGTAAATATTAATACAATTAAATGACAAAAAATATTAACCAAAACAGAATTACTGAGCCAGTATGTGGTGGTGCACGCCTTTAATCCCAATACTTAGGAGGCAGGCAGGCAGAGCTCTCTGAGTTTGAGACCAGCCTAGTCTAGACAGAGAGTCCTGGAACAGCCAGGGCTACAGAAAGAGGCCCTGTCTCAAACAGAGACAGAGAGAAACAGAGAGAATATGAATGTCACAGTGGACATACTAGATACACCCTAAATACTTAAACACAGAAGACATCTAAACATCAGCAGGTGGAACCTGCAGGCAGAACTCAGCAATAGAGTCCCTGTCTTCCCAGCACCCTAGGATTTGATCCAGCCCAGGAGAGGAGAGGGGAGGGGAGGACAAGAGAGGGTAGTGAAGAGGAAGAAACAGAAGAAAGATAGAAAGAATGAGGCATTAGTGGGACTGAACAAATTTTTCTAGACAGGATCCAATGACTCCACCCAGCCATTTCTTGATCGTGAGACCATTTTCTTACATTTTATGTACTTATTGTGTGTATGTGCATGTATCTGTGTTTTAGCACAAATGCCACACCATGTGTGTGCGGGTCGGCGGGCAATACACAGGAGTCAGCTCTCTTCTTTCACCACGTGGGTCCCAGTGAAGGAACCCAGGTCATCAGGCAGGAGGTGCTTTTAACCACTGAGGCATCTTACTAAGGCATCTTAATGGCTCTGTGACCCTTTCCTACAACTTTAAGAACCTCCTCACAGGCACATTGGTGCACGCCTATTATCCCAGACAGAGGCAGGCAGATGTCTGTGAGTTCAAGACCAGCCTGGTCTATAAAGCAAGTCCAGGACAGCCAAGGCTACACAGAGAAACCCTGCCTCAAAAAAGCTGAAAAACAAAACAAAACAAAACAACAACAACAAAAAAAAACCTCCTCAACTCACAGGCTCTTCAGAGCATGGCCATGCCCTTAAGTATGGTGTTATTTCCCATTCCATAGAGACTGAAGAGTCCAGAGACAGACCTTGCATGAAGGCCTCCCTGATTATAGGTCAAACTGCCCTACTTAGTTCTGACAACTTGACACAGCCTAGAGTCACCGGAAAAGGGAATCTCAGCTGAGGGGGTGCCCAAACAGACTGGCCTGCAGGCATGTTTATGGCAGATTGTCTTGACTGTTTAACTATTAATGTAAAAGGGCACAGCCCACTACGAGTGGCACCATTGCCTTGGCAGGTGGTCCTGGGCTACAGGGAAGGCTAGCCGAGCATAAGCCTTCACGTGAGCCAGCAAGCAGGGCTCCTCCAGGGTTCTCGGGTCCCTGCCCTGACATCTATCAGCAATGCACTGACCTTGAAGTGTAAGTCGCATAAACCCTTTCCTCCCCTAAGGTACTTTGGTACTTGCCACAGTGGCGGAAATAAAACTGGAACACAGGCGTACCTCCTTAGCCAGTCGCCGAGCCTCGTAGTAGGGCCGGGCCTTCTCAATACAGCTCCCCAGGTGAGAGCCCTGCGTGTTAAGCTTCCTCGCTGACTCCTGCAGGATCCTCCGATACGTGGTCCTGGCCTCCTGGCAAGGAATATGGAAAGCAGGCACACAGGGCTCAGAACCTCATTTCTCAGGCACACCCCTTCCTCTACCACTGTCTCGATCTAGGAAGACACAAACAGAGACATCTCCAGAGACCAGCCCGTGGCGGTGAGGAAACAGACACTCACGTCCAGCTGCAGCTCCACCTGGTTGATCTCCTCACTAGCCTGGTTCAGGTGCTCCAGCTCCTCCTGCCAAAGAAGGGTGTGAGTTACAACAGGAAGAAACAGCCTCGAGTGCTTCGTTGGGCAGGGAGGAAAAACAGAGAGAAAGTACCAACAGACTGGGAAACAAAGTGAGTCACTTGGAAAAGGCATAAGAAATGCAGGAGGGACTGTCCCAATGGCATCCTGTCTAGGCTAGAGGACAGTGTCATGTAATCTTCATAGTTCCACGTAGCTGAGCAGGCACACCCCTGACGCAAGGATGAGGAACTGCAGTTCAGGGAAGGCAGCACTGCCATGCACACAGCAAGGTGGCAGTGAGCCTTCCTCTCCACCAGAATGCACCATTTCCTCTCCATGAGGGAAGGTTCCTAGGATATGAATGATTCTCCCCCCTAGGCCAGGAGGGCCACTCATTCAGCACATGCTTCCTGCATATTTACTGCTCAGTACTTTGAGAAAAATATGGAACACAGGGACTAAAGAGATGGATCAGAAGCTAAGATTACTTGTTGCTCCTGCAGAGGAGCCAGGTTCGGTTCCCTGCACCCACATGATAGTTCACACCCATATGTAATTCCAGGGGATCCAATGTCCTCTTCTGGCCTCCAAGGGCATTGCATGTACATGGTTCACATATATACCCGCAGGCAGAACACATACATAAAAGAAATAAATCTTAAAAGGGAATGTAGACACAGCACATACAGAGGTGGTGACTCCCATCACTGAGCAAGAGGCTCTTGGCAGCAATACATCCCTGTGAAGATGGGTACAGGTGCCCATAGGCAGCAAGGCTACCTACCTGGGTCGGGGAAGGCAGGGGCAAGGTGCCTGGAGCAGATCATCCTAGCAAGAAGGCAAAGGAGAGCAAGAGTTCCGGGGGAGACAAGTGAGACCAGTGGGACAGTGGCACCAAAGCAAGGACAGAAAATAGAAGACAATGGCAAAGGGAGTCCCTAGGGCCAGGGGCCATTCAGTCTAACAGCGCAAGTCTGAACAACGAAAGGAAAGCTTGGAGGAACCACAGAAACGAAAGTAAAAGCTATTGTTGTGTTGCAGGTGGGAGAAGAGAGGAAAGATGCTGACCTTCTCCCCCTCCCAACCCACCCCCGGGAAATGCAGGACACAGAAGTACAGGGCTTGGTGGATGATCAAGATAAACACCAGGTAAGGGGTCCAAGAGGTTTTGTGAACAACAGAATCCCAGGTCCCATCCAATACAGTATAACGTTTCTTATCATTTTTTTTTTTTTTTAAACTATGGATGCAGGTGCTTGCAGAGGCCAGGAACATCATACCCCCATGGACCTGGAGTTACAAGTGATCATAGGCTGAACAATGTGGGTGCTGGGAACTTAACTCAGGTCCCTGTAAGAGCAGATCTTAACCAATGAGTCATCTCAGAAGCCCCTAGTGCAATGATCTTGTAGTAGCAAGGAGGAGTCTCTAGGAAAAGTCACTGGACATGCTAGTTTAATGTCTCATTGGTCCCTAGGCCTGAGAGAAAAGCATGGAATCACCCTAGACCTTTCAGCGATGTGGCCGGGAGCTGGAAAGGGTGCTGGCCACAAGTCATTCTCCCTTGCCTAATAAAGTGCATCCAATCCCAGATCCTGCTGATCTAAGAATACTCCTGAGAGTGCTGGGCTGCGCCACAGCCTCTGCATCTGGAAAGGCTGGGTACTTAGCTATAGGTTCCTCGGGGTAGGTGCTCAGCGCCAGGCTCTGCCTCCACCAGCCCAGTCTGCCTGCTGCTCATCCATGAGAGGCATTAGACAGAAACACCACCCATCTGTATAGATGTGACGTTGAAACGTGACGTATAGAAACCTGCCCCATCTGTATAGATGTGACGTTGGCTCCGATTCACCTCACTTGGCCCTTCCAGCAACCTGGTGAGGGGAGTTGGGCTGGAATGAAAGATCTCACTGATTTCTATAATATAGACACATGAGTGCACACTTTGAAAAAGAGACATAAAACTAAAAGTACAGGAAACTGTTCCCATGCATCCAGTAAAATAAAAATACTACAAATGCAGAGGCCTACAATGGAACTAGGAACAAGCATGTGAACCTGTGCATAGCCTACCTTAGAAGAGCCACGATCTGGCTGAGTCTTCACACAGCCATTCATGGAACAGTGTTGTGAACTCAAATGGAATGGTTCATTTTCCACAAGCTGTTTTTTAAAACTCTTTGAGCCTCCTGGCTCAGTGTTCCCTAGTGCTGAGATTAAAAATGTATACCACCATTGCCTGGCAGTGGTGGTGCATGTCTTTGATCCCAGCACTCAAGAGGCAAAGGCCAGGAGATCTCTGTGAGTATGAGGCCTTCCTGATCTAAAGCGTGAGTTCCAGGATAGCCAGGGCTACACAGAGAAACCCTGTCTCAAAAAAACCAAACTGCACCACCACACTCAGCTATCAACCTTACCTTTAAAAAGTTAAAAAAAAAAAAAAAAATAGGGCTGGCATGGTGGCTCAAGCTTTTAATCCCAGCACTTGGAAGGCAGAGGCAGACAGGTCTCTGTGAGCTCAAGACCAGCCTGGTCTACATAGCAAGTTCCAGGACAGTCATGGATACAGAGTAAAACTCTGTGCTGTTGTTTTTTTATTTGTTTGTTTTTGTTTTTGTCTTTTAGGTTAAACATACAAACTAGCATCTCAATGGAACCCCTTGCAATTAAAAAGAAAAAAATTAAAATACCTGCTGTCAATTATAGTGGCACCCACTTGTAACCCCAACACTTGGCAAGCTCGGGCAGAGAGATTGTGAGTTCCAGGTCAGCCTGAACAAAAAACAAAAAATGAAAAAGCCTGTTGCTAGATCAACCTAATGCTCACAAAGCTCTAACAGGACAAACAGAAGCCCAAGCCCCCCGTGGACTGACGAACACAGTTAAGCAGGGAGAAGCAGCCAGACCAAAGCATCATGGGAAGGGCATAATGGGAAGTCACTGAGCATCCAAAGTGCTGTTGTGGACAGTCAGCAGCACATTCCATTTGGCCTGTTCCACCAGGAACTCCTGGCACTCAGCGAAAATGGAATTCAGGGAGGACAGTCTGAGTCAGCATGCCTTATCTGTCAGAAAGCCAGCAGCCAGCAGGAGGATGACCTTCTTGAGGTACTCTGGGTGCATTCCCAGAATGCCAGGCCACTGAGTCAAAGCATGAGTGCTTGACTACAGATGTTTCTGCTCCACCCTTGGACGCTCCTAGTCCTCTTCCACAAATCACCAAAAAGTCCAAGCAGATGATGAAGTAAATAGGGCCAGGGTAATGATGACGAAAAAATATTTTTAAAACTCTCTAGTGGACTTTGATGGATCTGTTAATGGAGCCACTTAACTATGTTGAGACTCTAGAAAAACAGACACTCCCTGAAAGACCTGAAGCACGTTTTCAAGGCATGTGATATGAACCACTCTCAACACTAAAATGAACTTCAAGCACATAGGAACTTACCTACCCAGCACCCAGAAGAATACAAATACACAAGGGCAAATGTTGTGATCGCCACCTCAGAACTAGGGGATTCCTCACATCAGGTTGCTTTTTCCAGACTTTAATCCCTGGTGAAGTGAACTGGAGAGCCTGGATCTACCAGTGCCTGTGTCACCAAATGAGGCCGAACCTAAGCCTTCCCTGCCTGTGTGGCCTACAACACTACACTAAATGCTATGCCTGACAAGCGGGGCAAGGGTCTAGCTTGCCCCTCTAGTACCTATCATACTGCAAGCTCACTTTATGCATCCCCAGGACATCCCAATGCTCCCAGAGCTCATCTGACAGAAACCTGATGGCAGAAATGCCCTATCTGCACCCTCACTACAGTACAGAACTGCATTTTTTTATTTTAACTGATTGCATTTACATAGCCACAGGTCTACCTCTTCAATCTACTGCCTTTGCCCACATGGTTACTGGAAAAATGCACAGAACAAGAGGTTGATGAAAGAAACCAGAAGAGAAGGCTTTTCCAGAGCAAATAAGGGGTGTCTCAGGGAGGTGCAAGAAACACAGTATACACCCTTCTCCTCAAGAAACAGAGCGAGCTCCTTCCTAACCCACTGTCTAGAAACTTCTACCAAAGAAACAAGCAAAAGCATTGGTTAACATAATAATAATAATAATAATAATAATTTTAGACCTGTGTGCACAGCAAATGAGAGCTGTGCAAATTATACACACCCATTCCCTCATTATACAGACAAAGTAAGGTCAAAGAAGTTATCTTTCTCAAAAATCACACCATCATGGGGCTGAAGGGTCTTGACTATCCCGAGACTTTTTTTTTTTTCAATGCATTCTCCCAGTGGAAGGCAAGTCTTCAGAACGAGAGAGAGAAGCTGAGTTGTTGTCAATGCAGCATCATGAAGCAAAGCCGAAATAAATTACTGACTCATGCCAGAAAGGAATAGCTCACTGATGCTCCATTAGAAACATGCATACAACCCAAGAGGAACCTCACCACACACACACACTCAAACCCATACACCAGCTCTGCTTTCTTTGCAATTCATTGGCATTACCTAGTAAGGTTTGTAGACCTCTGGAAAAGCCAAAGAACTCAAGCTTTAGGATGTTCTGGCTACCTAGTAGATAAGTCACTTCCCCAATAACAGAATCCCAGAGAGAAAACCTACCTAAATGGTAGACTTGGGCTCCAAATATACAGACACATATTGGCCATTATATGGCCAAGAAACTTTCCTATTCAGTCCTTAGCACCCCAAAAAACTAGATAATTCAGCTTTACCTATCCAGCTGTCTCCTCTACAATGCCCAGTCTCCCTACTATCTCTCACACAACGATTTCTCTGTCTTACCAACTAGACTGTACACATCCCATGACAGTAAGTTGTTCTGCCATTCTTTTGGTAAATCCACATTTCCAAGAGCCAGGAATGTGTATTCAGGACTGATCGAAACTGATATGTCTCTGCGCTGTAAGAGACTTTCTGCTGAGCATGGTGGTACAAGTCTGTAGCCCCAGAACTTGGGAGGCAGAAGCAGGCAGATCTGAGTTCTAGGCTACCCTAGTCTACATATCAAGTTCCAGGACAGCCAGGGCTACACAGAGAACCCTAAGAGAAAGACAGACAGACAGACAGACAGACAGACAGATGGAGGGAGGAAGGGAGATTTCCTTACAGGCCCAAACCTTACGGTGCTTTTCAAATACCTGAAAGGTTTCACAACTCAAACGATTCTGAGAGATACCACTGAGAAGGTAGAAAAAGGGGAAAAAAATCCCCTCACGTAGCCTTAACACTGCCTCCCAGTCTCGGCCACCTCCTCTTCCCTCCAGTACAGGTCAGATATCCCAGCTAGCAATCCCTCTACTTGTTTATGTTTAGAACAATGGTTCTATGCCCAACCTAAAGTATAGTTTCATCCAACGCATACCCCAAGCACTCAGGCAGGGTCCCTGCTCTCCCATTAGCACTCCAGAAAGCTCTTTTAGCACCTGTCATACAAAACTTCAATGTTTTGTGGACATACCTGTTTCCCTTCCCCACCCCAGTCCCCTGTGAGAGAATAAGTCTAAGGCCTTGTTCATCTGACAGCTCTTCAGCAAACATGGAATTTCGGCTTCCCTCCCCTTCTTCCTCTTGGCCTTCTCACCTGTATCCTAGGATCCAGCTCTTCCTCCTCTCTAGGAGACAGTTTGGTCTCACTGCTGTTGCTTCCACTTCCTCCAGGCTCCTCTGCGACAGGGCTCCTGGGAACTTCATCCTCTACGACCTCTGGCCGCAGTTCCCCCTGTGGAGTTTCCCGGCCCCCTGGAGCCTTTTTGAAATCAGCCATGCTGGCTGGAAGAGGGCAGAGCCCTATGCACAAGAGAGGGTTGACATGCTGGGACCAGGGCCCCAGCTTGAGGCTTCCTGGGCTTTGGATGTCAAAGAGAAGGCTTTCTCTTCTCAAAGGCAGAAAAGAAGGGACACAGAAGAGCCTTCCACTCGGTTAGAGGCTGAGATTCAAACTGTTGGTGAGGTCCCTATAACTAAACCCTTGTCTTTGCAAAAGTTCTTCACACCCCTCCACAGGGAGTCCACCAAGAGACCCCAGCAGCAACAGCTCCAAATCAGGGAGCAAAGGGGGCCTGGATCCTGGGCCGAGGCCTGCGAAGAGGAGCACCATTCGGGAGGGCGGAGGCAAGCGCCTCCAGGCTGTGGTGGCAGATGGAGAGAAGGCTACGTCCGAGCAGAGGCTGAGATGCGCCTCGGGGGAGCTGCGGGGGTAAACAAAGGCCAAATTACATATGATGTCAGCATCAGAACCTCGGCCAGCAAACTCTTCCGAGTTCCGGGTCTCCGAAAGACACCACTGTATCCCCAGCATACACTCTGGTGGGACCAGTCCCCATCTCAACTTCTTTCCTCAGCCCCAAGGACTTCAGGTCCGACTTTGCACCGGTCCTGTTCCTCTCACTCCAGCCCCTCCCCAGTCAGCACCTTCCAAACTTCCCTCTGAGTCCCACCCTCTCCTCCACACCCTATTCTGTCTTGCCCGTCCCCTCCACCCTGTCCGGCTCTGCAATTCACCTTCTATCCCCCAATCCCGCCTCTCCAGCCCTGAGGCCCATTAGAGTCTCCAGAATACAACCCCACACTCTTCCGCGGTCCCAAGGTCTGAGTCCCATAAGAACACGAGTAAAAATTCCCCTTCCCGGCTTTACCTCAGTTTACCTTGCAGTGAGGGGAGCGTCTAGGGAGCAAACAATCTTCCCCCTCCCTCCCCGCAACAAGACGGTCCAACCAAAAACGCCCCGGCGGAGAGGAAACGGAAATACGCCATCACGTACCAACTCTAGTCCTCGCCCTTCCTCTCTGACAAGCATTGCCCTATGTAAACGCAACGCTCGGCGTGCTAGCTTTCAGTGTCCGTACAAGATGGCGCCACTCTGTGTCCAACGTCGCCTCTCTTAGCTTCCAATTCACCCCAAAACCAATGCTAAGTGAAATGAATACATGAGTGTGATATTCTGAGGAAACCCACAGAGGATGATGGAGACCCATAGTTCATCCTAACTAGAGAAATGCTAGCAATAGTGTCATAGTTGAGAGCGGCCATCTTGCTTTACGGCACAGGGGCCGTGGCAGTAGACAATCGCTGTCCGGCGTGAGCCAGAAGTGATGCTGTGGACTTCCGCTTTCGCTCTCTCGGGCCTGCGGTTTGCTAATGAAAACAAAAGTCGTTTTTCCAATTTTCCGCTTCACGTAAGCCTGCGGACTCTAGTCGGGACAGGTGGGCGAACCTCCCCCGAGACCTGCAGCCGGCGCTATCTGTCCCGCTAAGTAGCTGGTCTCACTGGGCGCCAGCTATGTCGTGAATGCTGAGGACCTCCCTGTTAGCTCACTTTCCAAGATGGGAACGAGGAGGCTCGAACCTCGCCCAGTGTATCACTCCCTGTTCCATTAATAGGTGGTCTGGATGTCGCTGCTACGACATCCATTGCATCTATGGCTATGCAGGATGGACCGAGGCCATGGGAAGAGCTGCAGGGTGGGGTGCTTGGGGTACAAAGACCTGAGGGCCTTGGAACCTAATCAGGCTTTGACCTAGAGATGAAGCACACATCTGGGCCAAGTTCTCTTCCCACTGAGGTTCTGTCAAACACAGTCCGTGTTTGGTAAAGCGGAGAAGAAAAGATTTTTAGTCAAGAGCTGCATTCCTATTTTTGTAGGGGTCGTTAGGTGTTTTACGGGCGATGTGAATGAGAAATTACAGAGCTGGTCACTGTTGATACTATAAGGCCGGCGTGTTTCTAGTTGGCAATTATGTGAGTCTTCTCCGTGTTAAGAAGTATTCCGTGGTTTGTTAACGAACGATAAGGAAGACTATAAAGAATTGGTTCTCAACCTTCCTGAGGCCGCGACCCTTTAATACAGTTTCCCATGTTGTGGTGACTCCCCAACCATAAAATTATTTCGTTGCTACTTCGTAACTGCAATTTTACTACGTATGAATCTAACGTAAATATCTGAAATGCAGGATATTTGGTATGTGACGCACCAAAGGGGTCGCAACCCACAGGGTGAGAATCGCTTGGTATAAATGATTGTGCAGCTAGACACAGGGGCCAGTACAGTGGAGGAGGATTTGGACTCCAACTGGAGTATAGACAAGGGGAAATTTATAGCCAAAGATCGGTGGATGAAAAACTGATTAAGAGAGAAAAGAAGGATAAAGGGGGCTGGCTAAGCCAACCAAACTGGATTTTTGCTGAAGACAGCGCTGGAAGGCTTGTGTCTAGAATGGGAAGCCTGACATGGAGGATACTGGCCTTGGTAAACTGACTTCACAAAGGCCTTTGTTAAAAATAGGTTTTACAAGATAGTGTACAGGTAGGCTTGGAAAAGGTCTCAGAAGCCTGACTAAAGTTAGACCAAAGAATCTTTTCCTTGTCTCTCCAAGACTAGGAGATGAAAGCTCTGTCTTTCCTAATAACTGTCTTGCAAAGATATATGGCTCCTTGAGAAGGGCACCCCTAAAGAGAAATAAATACATACACTATCTGAAAGGGACAAAGCGAAGATTCCAAACTGTCAGCCCTTTTTAGTAAGCGCTCTATGAGAGGATGTTGGGAATCTGTTATTCCCAGGTGTTGCCCTAAATAAACAGTACATTCTCCTGGCAGCTCTGAGCTTTCTCAGACAGGTATTGCTATGGAGCAGAAGGGACTGGGTCATGCTAGGGACAGGACCATTATGTGCTAGAAACCCTGGTAGGATTTGGTTTGGATGGAAACATTAGGTACCAAAAGTTCCAGTTCTCAACTCTCTCTCCATCCATTCTAACCCTGTGAAAAACTACTTAAGGATTGGGGATGTAGTCCATCTGGTGCCCTCAGAGGTTAAAAGGAGACATTGGGTCTCCTAGAACTGAAGTGATGGGTGTTGTGAGCCATAATGTGGGTACCAAAATTCATGTTCTCTGCAAGAGCAAGTATTTTTTTTTAAAGATTTATTTTATTTATGTGTGTATGTGAAGGGTGAGGGTTGTCTGTGGAGGCCAGACTAGCATTTGAGGTTCCTTTCTGGAGCTAAGAGATTCAGAGTGGTTGCAAGCTGCCGTCACTGGGTGCTGGGATCTGAACTTGGGTCTTTTGGAAGAGGAGCAAGCTCTCTTAACTGCTGTGCCGTCTCTCCAGCCAGAGCAAGTATTCTTAACCATTGTGCCATTTCTCTAACCCAAGAAAAACTCTACCCTCCCAAGTGCTGGGATTAGAGGCCTGAACAAAATATCCGATTTTTAATGAAGATAGTTTAGGATATGTTGTGAGGAAAATAAGAGATTAAGTAAAAGGACTGGGCTTCTGAGAGGCTCAGTGGATAAAGGAATTGCTCTGCAAGCCTGACAACTTGATTTGTTATTTGAGAGAACCCAACTTCAATTTCCAGAACCCACATGGTAGCTTACAACTATCTGTAACTCCAGGGAGCTCATAATTGCCTGTAACAGCTTTAGAGGATTCAATACACATACCCATGCAGGTAGACATAAATAAAAGCCTTTCTAAACAAACAAACAAAAAAAAAAAAACATTGCTATCTAACTTAATTTAAAAAATAATTGTTGAGTCATTAGATTCATTTGTATTGTGATGTTATTTATAATGCTGTTACTTGCTTATCTTCTTTAATTTCCTGAAATCTACTTTGGTGTATCTTTTCATTAATAACTTAAGATTAAAACCTTCATGCTGAAAAAAAAAAAAACTGAGGTCTGCAGTTCAGGACTTAGTTAACTCTAAATTATTAAATTTCATTTACTGTTCTTGGTTCTTCCCACCATTGGAAAACTCAGTTAACCACTATGAGGTTATCTGGGAAAGAACCAGAAGCAGGAGGCAGACAACTTTTGTATGTGGAACTGAAATGGAAACCACATTTAGTGATATAGTAACATGAGGAATAAACTGCATTCCACCCTTGCACAGAGGTAACAGCAAGCCTTCTGCCTTCACGGGGCTCTCGTGGTGGCTCTGGTTCTGCATTTCCACTGAGGGATGCTCACATTCCTGGGTTGGGATAGGGCCTGTGGTGTTCTATTTATATTCCATTACCTAGCCATGTGCAGACGCTGTGGCACCGATAAGAGCTTACGGGAAGTTGAGCTTGTAGCTCTGTGATAGAGCTTTTGCCCAGCATATGTAAGGGTCAGGTTCACCTCTCAGCCTAGGGGACAAGAGGTATCCCATAATCTGTTAACTCTCCCAAAATCTTTACCCACTGCACTTCCTAGAACTATTGCCCTGTTCCACTCAGCATGCTCTACAGCCGATATCTAACCTTTTATTTTCTCTGGTTCACATTAGATGAACTATCATTTTGGAACGCCCTGTAATACCAAATACTGGCAAAAAGGGGAGTGGATATTCATGTATAGTTTTGGTGCTAGCATACGTAGGCAAAAAAAGTTTTGCACAATAATTCTAATTATGCAGCACCCTGTTCAGGGTGTCCTTTAAAATCATTGGGCAGGTCCCAGGTTTGTAATCACTAAAAATTAAAGCATTTTTTAATTTAAAAAATTAGTGAAGGAAACAACACAAGTGGGATATCTGAAGACCCAATACATAAATGTCTGGTTCAGTGAAATCGTTTCAGTTCTCAGGTGTTCATCAGACTTTGCTTTTAATTTTACTCAACTGCTTCATTCTTGAAAATAGTTGCTCAAATATAGCTGCTTACATGAATGAAGTGTGACCATAAGGTGAGGAATATGTGTCTCCAGGAAGGTAGCACCTATAAAAGTCAGACATCAGTTTTTTTTAACTTGAATGCCAGATTGCAGCTCTGCATTCCATTTGAAAATTGGCAGGTAATGTAGTAACTGGAAAGAGACAAGCTGTACCAAAATGAAGTTTTCCAGTTCTGTTTATCCTTACAACACAGTCCTAGAAAAGCACCTAATTTGGCAATGTGTCTTTGCATGGAATGCCTTTCAAGTCATAGGTTTAGAAACCTTGCATGGATTCCCTATAAATTAAGCAGAGTGTCAATAAAAATATCGCCATTTGACAACTTTCCACTGAATAACCGTCCTTCATTCGTAATTTACCTCTGGGGTTCTGTTTAATTTTTATTTTGGTGTGTGTATGTGTGTGTGTGTGTGTGTGTGTGTGTGTGTGTGTGTGTGCAGGCTTGTGTCTACTTCAGTATGTGTGGAGATCAGAGGGCAACTCTCAGGAGTTGATTCTCTACTGATAACTTGAGATCTGGGAATCAAACTCAGGCTGTGAGGTTTGTACACAAAAGCCTCTACCCACTGAGCTATCTATACACCCCTGAGGTTGTGTTTTGAGGCTAGATGCCATGATAGGATTAAAATAATAATAGACAAGCTGTAGTTACTTCTATTATGAAAATTGAGAGGAAAGTAGAAACCTGGGGTTTGTGTCCTTTGTATCTCAGCTGCCAGTGCAGCATGGAGGGCCTAAAGCCCAGCTGGCAATGTCTGGATTTGGGCTGATGTGTGGAAATGCCTTTAATCATCAAATAATACCTTACCTTAATTGCATAGTTGGTCACACCTTTAGTCCCAACAGTGGGGTGGGAGGGGAAGAGGCAAGTGGATCTTTGTGAGTATGGAGCTACCACAGTCTTCATACCAAGTTTCAGACCAGCCAGGGCTACATCACGTGAGACCCTGTCTGAAAGCGAAGCCTACCTGTTCTGCGGATGACAGTTAAAACCTCAGTAATGGCTGCCTTTCGCTAGAGTCACCACAAGCATATGTAACCAGGTGGTGCCGGTTCCACTCTGCACCTAGAAGATAACGCCCTGAAACCCACCAGAAAACTGAACCCACACATACATACAAATCGAAAAGCCATATTTTCATTTTGTGTGGCATTTAGATCTGTCATCTAAAAAGTACACAACTGTAAAGTCGTTACAAAATAAGTCACACACAAGCGCATAAAAAAACCTTTTGAGTTATACTTTTGTTATTTCAACACAAGGTCTTTCTGAACAGGTAGTTTCATGTCTTGCTGTAGTGAAACACCCCGGCAAAGAGCAACTTACTATAGCGAGCCTATTTTAGCTTACAACTCCAGGTCCTTTCCTGCGGAGGAGGCACAGCAGCAGGAACTTAGGGCAGCTGGTTTCCGCGCTTCCGCAATCATGAACAGGGAGCAAATGGATGATGGATGCTTTATGCCTGCTTTCAGTCTCCCCTCAACACTTAGAACAGCGCAGAACCTAATCCGTGCAATGGCACCTCCCACATTTGGGGTGGGCCTTCCACCTCACTTAACCTAATTATTAAAATGTCTCCCAGGTTTGCCCACGGGTCAACCCGATCCATATAATTCCTCCATGAGATTGTCTTCTCGGGTGATTTTACATCCTATCAATTTGACAAAACTAACCGGGACAGGGTCCTGAGACCTTTGCTGGCTAGGAATTGCGGAGGCAATGGATAACTTTGAATTCCTGATCCTGCCGCGTCCACCTCCGGAGGGCTGGGATTTTCTATGCGGTACTGGGAAATAAACAGTCTGCCAACTGAGCCGTGTCCCTTGGAGGTTTACGGCTCCGAGCTGGGCCACGTCCCTAGGCTGCGTGCAGTCGCTGGTTGGACTTGCTCTGAAGGGTTGGAAACCGTCTCCAATCACACTGGCCTGAGCCCGGGAGGCAGCAGGTCAGCTGAACAGGACTACCGCTGTCCCTAACAGTACACCTGGGCAAATCACTAATCCACGAGGAAGATTAATTAAGATAGTGAACATCCGGGCTGACCTCACCGTCCGTATATAGGAGAACAGTAACTTGACCGATTAGAGCGACTGGTCTCCCTCGAGTAACCTGCTACAACCCTGACCTGGCTCAAGGTGGCACTGGGCTCAACGCCTTTTCCTCTGAATGGCAGAGAGGGGTCCACGCGTGGACACCGGAAAGGGGAAGCTGGGCCTGACAGGTGACACCGTCGCCAGGTCGACTTGCCATGCCAACTCCGCCCTCCTCCAGGACAGATCAATAGTGCGCTTGCGCGGGCTCGATGCCCCTGCAACCAGCTACAGCGGCCGGTGACCATGCGGGACGAGCGGACCAATCAGCGTGCTGGCTCCGCCCCGCCCCGCCCCGCCCCGCCCCTTCCTCCGCGCTCTGAGCCCAGCACTGTCCGCAGCGCTTTGAGGGGAGCGCAGCTCGGAGCGGCCCTTCGGCGACTGGTGAGGTGGCTGAGGGCCTCAATGCAGGGCGGGCGGGACCCCGGCCCTCGGCGGCTGCCGTCCCCCCTCAACCCGGGGTCGAGATGCCCGGACGGGAGGGCGGCGAGCGGCGCAGGCGCGGCGAGCCAGTGCGCCTGCGCAGGCTACTCCAGGCCGCTGGTGCTGTCCGGCCTTGGGCCCGCGAAGTCGCCCGCCTGATGGAGCGGGTCGCGGCGCGGTGACAGCCTCCGGCCAGTAGTGACAGCCTCAGGAGACCAGGGGAAGTGGGTGCTTTGTGCCGTGTTGCCTCAGCGCCCTGCAGTCCCGCGTCACTCGGGGGCGCCGGGCCCGCCTGTGGCGAAGGAAGGCCCGCGTGCGCCAGCGCGGTGGGAAAGGATTCTTGGGGCCAAGCCAGAAAGACCTGGCAGGCTGTAATGTGATAGGACTCGGCCAGTAAGTTAAGCCCCCCCCCCCCCCCGATTCAGGGTCTGCCTAAATAAGGAGGGTCCTGAAGCGTAAATCGCCGAGTGCCGCACAACTTCGGTTCTCAGGTTTCTGGCCGCCTTGACCTTTCTCTTTTGATAGAAAACTGTCATGGTTTCCTGTATTGACTTATCCCAGGCTACTGGTACAGGCGGCCAAGTTCGCTCCTCAAGGTCACACAGTTATTTAGTCATGGAAGAACCAGAAATTGGTTGCTTGCTTTTCTGGTTCCTCTAAGTAGGTTTGTCAACATAAAACGAAGCTCCCCAAAGGTAATGTGAGATGTAGGTAGGCTACAGCATGAAGGAAGATAGCGGCTGTAAGTTTTAGGTCTCTGTGTGATTATAGCCTTAGCTTTCAGGTTAGTAGAGGCTAATGGTATAAGTTAATGTCTTCCAAAGGCTTTACTTGGTGGTACAAAGGCTGTTAGATACAGAGGTGAGAGATAACTATTAAGGTGATTAAAGATAGCCAAGGAAATTTATCACCCCTACCAGCTTTCCCACCTCAGCCTCGGAGTGCTGGCACGATGCTGGGGTGCCATAAGATGAGCCTGAGTAGGCAGGAAGGTAGTGTTTAGGAGAGAGTAACAATTTTTTGTTCTTGTTTTGTTTAAAAACAAAAAAACCTAAGGAACAAGATCCTGTATCATGTTATTAGCCACCATAATCCAGGTAGCTTGGAGCTACGTGAGACCTTGTCTCCAAAATAAATATGACCTAAAGTAAAGGTAGCAGGTGAGAAAAAAACTGCAAATAAAAGGGGTAGGAAGGCTGGTTTTGGCTTGTTTATGTGTATGTGTTTGGATGTGTGCATGAGTACACTGGCTCCTGGAGGTCAGAAGCACAGGTCCCCTGGAGCTGCAATTACAGGCACCTGTGAGCCGCTGTATGTGGGTGTTGAGAACTGATCAAAGTTTGTTCCTTTGCAAGAACAGCAAGCTCTCGTAAAATCACTGAGCCGCCTTATCAGCCCATGCTACAGGTTTTAGATACTATCTGGTGACATACTTTAGCTTCTGAGTGAGTAGAAGGGAGTAGTCTCCTAAACTGACACCTTCTCAAGAATCTTAGGTCAGATGCAGAGGTGGTTGATAAATGGCTATTACAAGATAACACAAGATGATTTGGGCTCTCCATCTGCATCACTCCAAGACTTCGTAATCATGCAAGTTCTAATCACACTGCAGAATCTTCATGTGTGTGCTTTTCCACGGAGCTTCATGTCGGGGGCCATGCAGGAGAGATGGCAAAACAGCTCTTGAACTCATGGAATGCAGCTCACCAGTTAGCACAATCAAGATGAGTTTGTCTTGGAGAGGCATAACCCCAAGAACTATGTGTCCTGAGGACTTCGTGCTGTTATGGAGCAGAGCTCTGCTTATTGCTTTTGTGGTCAGCACCCCCCTTGCAATATATGAGTTGTATGAAAACTCTAAGGGGGCTTCCAGCCCCTTGCTGGGCAGTATATCTGGCACCTACGAAGAGCAATGCTTGATCTCTTTCAGGCATGGTTGCTGGGTTAATGTTTAACCACCACCAAAGAACCTATAGATGTAGATTGTTAGCAATGACCACTACCCTTAGAAAGAATTAGGAAAAATATATTGTTTAGCAAGGAGCAAGGTTAAAGATGTTTTTACTAGTGGCTCTGACATAGAAAGTCTTAGGGAAAACCAGGTTGTTTAGCAAGGTTAAGTAAAGATGTTTTTGCTAGGGACTCTGATGTAGAAAATCTTAGAGAACGGTTTGAAGTTCAGGAAAGTACACTCGTAATAGTAAAGTCAGGGACTTGTTGAGATTGGAACAGGAAGAAAGATGGATACAAGTCTAACACAGTCACTTTCCACAAAACTGCATTTTAATCTGTATGGTGGTGATTCCTTAAGATTCAATCACCTGGTAATGTCATAACTGAGTCTGTGTAAGTAAGTTCTGTGATATTCACAATGACAAGCCCACATTTTCAGGACTCATCCCATTGTTAACTGACACATGATTACACAGCACTTCGTACAGCATAGAGTATATTATTTGTGTCCAAATCATGGGTAGGTCCAGAGAGGGTGCCTTCTATTCTTCTGTTCTTCCTGTTCCAAGATTTCTAGCTTTTCTGTACTTCAGTTTTGCCCATTTGTTAGAGGGACAAGAGGGTAAGCTCTTGCAGTCTGTATTTTCTCCCTACCTACATACTAACCTCTAAACTTCCCAGATTTCACAGTCTTTGTGAAATCAAAACTTTCAATTTGTATTTGATTCATGGTCAGACTTGGTTCTTGGCATGGAACAAGAACTCCCCTTCCTCCTGGCTTCTTAAATATGTCATACTCGCCATAAGCCCTTCTACTCACATACCATCCCGAAAGAATGGGTAATTGGCCTCTGTCTGATTTCAGGGGTCACAGAACCTGAGGGACATCTGTATCTCAGCTTCTGAGAGGTTAGAAGAATCCAACAGAAAAGTTACTTTCCCTGGAGAGCTACAGTCCACATTTCTACCCCTCACTCCTGTCCCCTCATTTGAATTCCATTTCCTGGCCTTAAGATTAATGTAGCACACACACGCTGAATCTTGGGGACCTAAAGAACATTGAGAGGCCAGCCACCTTTCTTGTCACTAGACACACTTGCGTGCTTTCAATGTAACTAGACAAGCCTTTCAGGGACCCTCGGGTTACACGGGGGTGGGTGGGATAAAGGATAGCCACCACCTGAACTACTGCTGGATGAAAGGGGGACATGCGCACAAATATGTGGAGTCAGGTATTGGTGCTCATGACAACAGCCATGGTTTTACTCTCAGATCAGCAGTGAGAGGAAGTGTTGTACAAGTTGCACCCGAAGTTCCAATAAGATCTCCAACACGAGCATTACAGGAGCCTCTTTTCCAGAAAAGTGAGAGATAGCCTTTGAAAGGGATAGTGGGACTGTCCCTCAGGAATCATGGACTAGCCCTCCGAGCTTAGTGAGGTTCTAATGGTCAGATGAATTCAGCAACTTTGTTCCAGCAGCAGCCTTCTTAGGGGCCTGAGGGAGACTATACTTCCTCTTAAGTTGTTTTAGGATTTAGAAGGCATTTGAATGATTGTTCCAGCAGGAATAAAATGTTAACCATATTTATAATCTTAAAATGTTTTGTGTGAAAGTAATGCTAGGGATTGCACTCAGTGCTTTGTTCATACTAGAAAACAACCTGGTACATCTCCACCCCTAAACATTGTTGATGAGATATGTTGCATAGCTATCATTTTCATGCTAAAACTTTTTAAATAAGTGCATTGAGCTTCACAACATTTCCAAATGTTTAGTTGCTACATGCAGCTCTTAGAAAGCACAGCCCTGGGCAGTTACCCTCAGCTTTGTTCTTACTTGGTCAAACAAATGTTTCTTAACTGTCTTCAAGATAGATATCCGCCATGACTCCTGAATTGTGTCTCTTATCATACCCAAGAAATACTGGTATGGCAGAACAGATACCCAGAGAGAAACTGACTAGATTCCATTCTGACTGGATTCACACAATGGACTGAAAAATGTACCAAATTGTGATTAATTTTGACACTGACTTGCAGTTCTGATAAAGTTATGCTTGAAAGATACTAAAATAGTAAAGTACTCAACAGTTAGGACTTGTTGCTCATCCCATAATTGCCCTTTTACCTTAAAACATACTGGTTATATAATACTTCAAGACTCACTCTCAGATTGGTGATACTCAGGATGATTTCTGAGTGTTCTAAGCATTATAATATGTTTTTTTTTTCTAGGTTTCTACCCTAGGTATGGACCTCTTTGCTCATGTAATGGGATGAAGTAAGGAAGAGATGTGGAAAGCCAAGCAGCAAACTTGCACCCTGCACTTATGTCTGTTATAGGAAGAGATGGAATATTTTATTTGCCTTTTATATGTACATACATATGTGTTGTGTGTTTGGGTTACTTTCCTTGGGCGTGTTTCCTGGGAAGCACTGGAGAGGATGAGCTTCCAGAAGCTGAGAGGTGCTAGGCTCCCAGAGAACTCAGGTGAGTCAGAGCATTGCTCTTGTATTTGAAACCAGCCACTGGATTTTTGTTTCCTGAATGACCAGCATGTGGGAGCTAGAGGCAGGCAGTTCTCTGTGAGTTCAAGTCCAGCCAAGGCAACATGAGACCCTGGCTCAAAAATAAAATGAAGGGACAGGAGAGTTGGCTCAGCAGGTGAGCACCTAACTGCTCCTCCTCAAGGTCCACATTCGATTCCCAGCACTCACTCCAGGTGGCTCAGCACTGCCTGTAACTCCAGCTCCAGAGGATCTGATGCCCTCTTCTAGGCTCTGTGGGCACCTGCACTCTCATGCATATAGCCTTACACAAACACATACGCATACATATAAGATAAATACTAAAATGAAGTTAAAAATAGAAACAAAGCTCTTCCTGAAGGATCCAGAGTTAACTACTCTAATCTAGTCTAATCTGTAGCTGCAAAGGTGCTTCCGCTTTGCATGGTTTAAAAAAATTCAGGTTGGGGTTGGGAAGGGAGGAGACATACATAAAAAGTGGAGTGGTATCACAGGTGAATAGCAAATGGTGACTGGTGGCACTATTCTCCCTCAATTTGGATATTTGAAAATAACCATTTAAGAAATATCTTCCTCAGCCAGGTGTGCTGGCACATGCTTTTAATCCCAGTCCTCAGGGAGGCAGATGCAGGTAGATTGCTGTGAGTTCGAGGCAAGCCTAGTCTACAAAGTGAGTCCAGGACGGCCAAGGCTACACAAGGAAATCCTGTCTCAAAAAGATCAATCCCCCCCAAAAAAACAAAACAAAACAGAAACCCAAAACCTTCCTCTGGCTGGGTGTGATGATGCACCCTTCTAATCTCAGCACTCGACAGCAGGCAGGACTGTGAACGTGGTGGTGCATGCCTGTAATCCCAGCTCTCTGGAAGCAGAGGCAGCTACATATCTGAGTTTGAGGCCATCCTCAAACTACATATCAAGTTCCAGGACAGCCAGAGCTACATAGATAGACTCTGCCTGGAAAGAAAGAAGAAGGAAAGAAAGTCCATTCTTCCTCCAGAATAAAAAAAGACACTGGAGGAACATAATCCCTAGAGGTCCTTCCCCCGGCGTGGAGGAGCAGCAGATCCTAACCTCACACCTCAGGTTTGCTGTTGGCCACAAGTTTTATCCACTTGGCTCCACTTATGTACAGAAGGTAGAGCAAGGCCCAGTCAATGTGTTCTTCAGCCAAGCCAGCATGCTGGGCATTTAGGATTTTCATTTCCTACAAGAACATGACTATTGGTCATTTTATTTGGTTTTTCCTTGCGGATTTGCGACCACACTTCACTAGAGGGTGTATGATGTCTCATGCCTATGAAAACAAAGGCTGACTGATCTTTCTTCTGGTTGACTTTTCTAGTGACTATTACCTGAGGGCCTGGGATCTGACACCAGCCCAGGACACCCAGTAATGAGGTACGGTCCTTAGGTCAGTATAGCCTTGTTACCCAGCAAGGGTGCCAGACCTATGTTTTGTTGAATAGGTGATTCCCACCCAGGGTGCATTAGGAAATGGCCAAGGAGGAATGTCAGGTAATGAGAATTCCTCCAGGAGTCTAAGTCACATCAGAGTACTGGGCAGGCACTTGTTTCTTCGCTTCTCCAAGGATGTTGAGGGTTCCTAGTTTTAGCGAAGAAACACACACACAGACACCTTAGAATCCATACCTGCCTGTGTCATGGACAGGTGTGCTCTGTCCCTCTTGCCTTTCCAGACACTACAGAGACACCCCTCTGAATTTCTGGGACTCGTGTTTTTCCTCTCTTGAGAGCTAGACTAGCTAATATACAGACCTAGAGAGTTCAAGGTGCCTTTTCTGTGTCCCCAGCCAAGGTTGTTGCAGCCAGTCCTGAACTTGGGGTGACGTCCCTACGGGGATCACAGTGATGAGCCCAGCTGTAACCGGCCTTTGGAACAGCCGGGACATATGCCCTTGAGAGCAGAAACCCAGGAATCTGCAGAGCAGTTTTCAAGGCCACAGCCTTTCCAGGCCTTAAAACTACAAATTATTGACTGGAAAAGGCAACACCATGTTGACAGCGCCTGACATGGCTGCGATCGGGGAAAGACCTTATTCCTGCAGCGAGTGTAGCAAGAGCTTTCGGTATAGTGCAGTGCTGCTGAGGCATCAATGCGCCCATGGTGGTGACCAGCGTTTCCGCTGTCTCGAGTGTGGTGAACGCTGTGCTGGAGTCGCCGATCTTCGTGCACATAGGCGGACTCACGCTGGCCAGACCCTCTACATCTGCACCGAGTGTGGCCAGAGCTTCAGTCAGAGCACCCTGCTGGACCTGCACCTGGGCACACACCGAAGGCGCAGCCGCAACTGCCCGTGCCGCCTCTGTGGCCGCCGCTTCCCGCACGTCCCCGCACTGCTGCTGCATCGGCTGCGCCAGCACCCACCTGAGAAGCCCGAGTGCTGCCCGCTGTGCGCCCGCTCCTTTCGGCAGAGCGCTCTTCCCTTCCACCTGGCACGGGCGCACCCCCCAGAGACCACCCCCGCCACCGCCCCTTCCCCCAGCGCGCTCTACCACTGTACGCAGTGCCCGCGGGCCTTCCATAGCAGTGCTGGGCTGCGGAACCATTCCCGCATCCACGTGGTCCCCAGCCTCGGCGACCCCGGCGCTGAGGCCCACCAGTGCGGCGTGTGTGGAAAGAGCTTCAGCAAGAGTTCCACGCTCACGCGACACCTGCAGAGGCACTCTGGGGAAAAGCCTTTCAAGTGCCCCGAGTGCGGCAAGGGCTTCTTGGAGAGTGCCACGCTAGTGCGGCACAAGCGAACGCACACCGGAGAGAAGCCATATGCATGTAGCGACTGTGGACGCTGCTTCAGCGAGAGCTCCACGCTGCTGCGCCATCAGCGCAGCCACCAGGGCGAGCGGCCGCACGTGTGTGACACTTGCGGCAAGGGCTTTGGACAGCGATACGATCTTGTAGTGCACCAGCGCAGTCACACAGGGGAGAGGCCCTTCCCTTGCCCGGAGTGTGGCCGGGGTTTCACAGACCGCTCGGACCTCACCAAACACCTGCGTACACACACCGGGGAAAAGCCCTACCACTGTGAGCTGTGTGGCAAGCGATTCACCTGCATCTCCAACCTCAACGTGCATTTGCGCAACCATGCAGGCCATAAGCCACACAAGTGCCCAGAGTGTGGCAAATCCTTCAGTGTTGCCTCCAAACTTGCACTACACAAAAAGACACACCTAGGTGAGCGGACAGCGGAGTGCACGGAGTGTGGCAAATTTTTTAGCCATGGGCGGTCCCTGTCACAGCACCAGCGGTCCCACAGACGTGCTCGAGCAGCTGCAATGGCAGCCACTACCACTGTGGTCACTGAGGTGACAATAGGTCCCCCCCTTAGCCTCCCAAGGCCAAGAGAACAGGAGAAACCAGGGCTCTTAGTCTCTCCATTTCAGGAGACTTGCTAAGATGGCTCCACGAGGTGGCTGGGTCAGTCCAGAGGAAAAGGGCAGCTCAGATGGTTTGGGAAGCCAGACCTGCTGCTCCTGCATTGTTGCTAGCTGTTCACCTAGCTTGCCTTGTCTCTGGACAGAAATCCTCATCAGCTCTTCCATTATCCATCCTTGTATCCCCCAACTCTGAATACTAGGAGTCAAGAGAACCAACACCACACCCTACCAAGACAGCCAGGTGTCTGAGTTCTGCTGCTGCCGTTCTACTCTCTTGTTGGTATGGGCCTGATCTATCTTTACTGTCTTTTCAAGCAACACATTTGGTTGGTGAGGTCTCTTGCTTGAGACAAGTAGTTGCAGAGGTAACATACAGGCAGTGGAAAGGCTGGCCTCATTAAAGGACCAAGATCTGTGGCAAGTTACTCCCTTGCAGAGGTAACCAGCCTACACTAAAGTAGGCAGAGTCCTTAGCCTGGCCATCCATGTCCTTTGACAAGATGCCTCTTAGGACCCAGCAAGATGGTTCAGCAGTTACCTGCGGGCAACTGAATTTGGTCCCTTGTATACACATATGTACTGTGGTACATGTGCATACACAAAGAAGTTAAATTTTTTTTTCAATAAATGACTTTTAGAACAGCTTTCTCTAGCCAGGTAGGAAATGTTCACTTTGGGATGCCGCCCAAGACTGTGTGGGTCCATAAAGCCCAGTGATCCCGTGTGAAACAAAATATTTCCAGATGAAGCTACAAAGCCTGAGAAAACATGTTCCCTGAAGTTCTGGGCAAGGGCAGAATGTAAGCCTGGAACTGGTCAGTGACTGCTTATAGCTGGTAAAATTGTTACTTGCTTGTTTGTGACACCAAGAGCCCCTTTGTCAAAACAATTTCCAAGTTCTCATCCCTTTTGGTGGTGGTTTTTTCATTGCTGTGACAAATACCTAAGAAAATCAACTTACAGGTTTATTTTGGCTCATGGTTTCAGTAGTGTCATTCCATTGTCAATTGGCTCCACTTCTTTGAGCCTGAACCAAATTAGAAAGGCACGGCAGGGGGCTGGAGAAATGGCTCAGAGGTTTAGAGAACTGGCTATACTTCCAAAGGTCCTGAATTCAATTCCCAGCAACCACATGGTGGCTCATAACCATCTAAAATGAGATCTGGTGCCTTCTAAAGACGGAAGGAAAGAAAGAAAGACACAGCAGGCCACCTACTTTGGGGCACTGCCAGAAGCAAATGCTAGACAGGACGGGGTCATCTGCCTCCTGGTCCAGGTCTCCTTCCCCTAGGCCAAGGCAGATGTTATATTCAGGGAAAGTGAGTCTAGAAAGAAGCACGTGAGTGGGGTCAGCTTCTGCTGCATTCTGGCACCCACAAATACTCTCAGAGTCTTACATCTGTAGCACAAAAGCATATGCTCTGCCCACACTTGTGTAAAATACTATTTATTGTTTCCTTGAAGGCTAAAGCTAGGTATCTGGAGTCCAGTCATGCCCTACCCTCAACTGCATTCAAATACCCTAGTTCCTGGACACCACCATCTGACTTTTCTCTGAGTCTCTGAGGTCTAGCACCCCAGGTGAAGAGATGGCTGTGGAGGGGGCAGGATTAGAGTCAGAAGAGGTACAGAGGCTAGCCCCCTCAGGAGCTTGCGGGGGCTCAGGAGCAGAGATGCTGAGACTAGATCCCAAAGAGCCAGGTGACTCCTGTGCTGGGAGAAGGGCTGGGTGGCTTTTGCTGCGGTGAGCTGCCACACTGTCTGGCTTCTCAAAGCGTTTGCCACAGAATTCACAGGGGAATCGCAGGGCAGCGGCAGTCTCTGCGTGCTTGCGTCGGTGCCAGTTTAGGGAGGCCTTCTGGCGGCAAGTAAACCCACATATCTCACACCTGGAGCCAGAGACAGGAAGGAGCCTTGGTCCACCTTCACCTCCCTGGGGGTTCTGCTGCCCACTGCCTGGCTGCCAGATACCAGCTCCCTCCATGGCCCCGGCACTCACTGTAGGGGCTTCTCTCCTGTGTGGATTCGTCTGTGGATGACAAGGTTGCTGCTAGTGCGGAAAGAACGAGCACAGAATTCACAGATGTAATCCCGGGTGTCTGTAGGCACACAAGGGACACTCAGTCATCTGACTTCAGGCTTTGGCCCACCATCCCCAACAGAAGGTGTCAGTACTGGGGCTCTGGAGTCTTGGGTCCAAATAAGCATCTAGACCTCTGGTACCTGGTTGGTCCTAAAACTGAGTGAGATAGACAATGGGGCATCTAAGACTGTATTCTTGTCACTCCTTAGTCCCTAGCTCCAACTGCTGAGCTCCTAGGATGCAGGCATACTTCCTCTATCTGGGACCTTGGGCTGGGTCTTTGTGAATGGAAAGCTGGAGCCTTGTATGCATAAGAAGTACCAAGTAGCAGCCACACATAAGCCTGGAGTCAGAAGTTGGGGTTTCAGTCCAGCCCCAAGGATACGCACCTCCATCCAGGTGCATGCTCCACCTGCCACCCGAGGGCCATGTGTGCAAGTGGCCAGTCTTCTGTCCTTCTACTGACCCTGCTAGTTTCAACAACTTGCTATCATCATTACAACAGTTCTCAGGCTGCTGTGGTTTGTCTCCCATGCCACTAAACCTAAAGGCCTACAGCAGAATCAGTCTTGCTTCTCGCGGTGCCCTTCAGACTGTCAGCAGCTCTCTGAAGACCTGGCCACCATATAATTCATCTTCACACTTCACCTCCATCACTCCCATTTACACCACAAGCTCTGGCTTCAAGTCCTCGGCACCTGCCAGCCACTTCTGCATTGAGCAGCACCGTGCCCCTGTCTCATCACTTTATCCCCCCAACTCTGCTCAGACATCATTACCAAGTACTGTGCTACCTCAAACATTTCAAGCATCCTGACTCCAACCAGTACCTCCTGCCTTCTCCTCATGTGACAGTCTGATGATTCCAGGATGATCCATCATCCCTACTACCTTTTCAGAGCTCCCTGCCCCTCTTGACTCCATTTTCACAGTGGACTTTATGACCATCTCTCACATTCCCAACCTGTCATGTCCCTTAGCAGTACTTGCTTGGTAAAAGCCCAACTCGGGCCAAACCTAGCCCCTGGCCTGCTTGAAGATGGATGTGTGCACTCAGTCTTTGCCATGGTCTTTCCTGTCATTGACAGGCTCTGCAATGCCCACTGTTCAGAATCCTGAAGAGCATCTGCTCTCTCCAGCACTCCCAGTACCACAACCTTTATTCCCCCAAACTACCAGTTAACTAGTACCCCCTGCCCATATATATGAAAATATGGATGCTTCCACCTTGCCTGTCAGAACTCACCTCTTCTCATCAAAGTTTCCACCCGCCTTGCTGTCATCGAGCCTTCCTTTCCCACTCTACACCATCAGCTTTTAGCCTTCCATCTAAGACCTTACCCCTCTGCTCATCTGCACAGAACTGCAGCATCTCCAACCTCCTCAGCTCTGCTTCAACCCACTCTGCTCTGGCTGTCACCCCCACAGCAAAGCTCTTGTCACGCTGTCTTGTTATCTGGTCCCCCTTCCTTCCTTGGCCTGCAGCTCTTGTCCACCTGTCCTCCCTCCTTCCCAGAGCAGTTCCTGTACTCGCCTGCCTCCTCAAGTGCTACTTTCTTTGCTTTCCTCTTTCCCCCAGGCCTACCTTCTGAGGGCAGATGTACCCCATCAAACCTCCCTCCCTACCTTCCTGTGTAGGCACACTCCAGCCCCATGGCTCCAAACACTACTCACATACTAATGACAGATTCCTTCTCACTCTATAAACTCCATACGCACATCCTGACATCTAATAAACATGTATTAACCCAGAGTCCTACCCACTGGCCTCTTCCTTGCTTTTAGGGATTCATTACCTTTTACCCAGCTGCCCAGACTTGAGTCTTCTGAGTCACTCTCTCTCCCTGCCAGTCCCACCTGTGGCCATCCCCACATAAGAGCCTCAAATGCTGCTCACCAACTATAGCTGGCAAACCCAAGCCATCACCATCAGTGTGCACTCTACTCTACAGTCCCTGACTCTCCTCATAACAGCTACAGCCATCTCAGAGAGTCGGCTATCTCTCCACGTCAGAACTCACAATGGTCTCCTCTCAAAGTAGAAGCCACACCATCCTCACTGTGGTCTTGGCCTCCTCTCCATTCCTAGAACATGCAGCTGCTTCCCACACGTGCTGCCCTCCACCCCTCACTTCACTCAGGTCCTGCTGCAGGGATGCTTTTTACCACAGCAGCATCGTGTCCTTCTTGATCTCCACACCCCCCCCCCTGCTTTCCCATCTCTTCATGACCCTAAATGACTAGAGTAGACATTTCACTAGGGTGGGGCTACCCAGAACCTAGTGACAATCTCAAGCAGGCAAGGCCTTGTAAGGCACACAGGGACTCAGGGGTTCAAGCCATGCCCAGGGCAGCTGAAGGGGATCCCACCACTCACCGCTGTGTAGTTTCACATGCTCCTTCAGGTGCTTTTTAAAGTTGAAGGACTTCCCACAGGCTGGCTCCGGGCAGCAGAATGACTTCTGGTGGATGTGCTGGTACTTCTTATGGTGCTACAGAGCGGGTGACGAGAGAGAGGAGGCAAACGGACGGCTGCCTTCCCAGGGAGACTGACAGGAGCTGGGTGAGCAGGCAGGCTCCTCCTCCACCCTTGTCTCCCCACCTCAGTTCCATCATTGTCTGGCCTCACCTGTGCCCCCGGATGCCCACCCCCTCACTTCCTCGCACACCATCACTGCAATGTCTGCAGAGTTCCCTCTACAAAATGCCACTCCAAGTGACACTCGTGGCTTATCCAACCGTGTCTGTCGGGGGCAGAATGGAGTTTACGTGAACGTGGTGACCCACATTGGTATGTGCTGCAGTATCTTACTACTGCTATTTATACATGCCAATGAGTGGTTCTCTCCTAAATCTGCTTTGGAAATACACAGGCCTCATAGGCTCTCAAAGAAGAGCACTGTCGAGGGAAAAGGGTTCTTTTGGGTATTTTGGTTTCCTTTGTTGTTTTTCTGTTTTCTCTTTTTCTCGGTTTGGGGTGCTGATCCAGGAGGACTGGGCATGTGAGGGGTAAGTGCTCTCCCACTGAGCTACACCCCCACCTGGCAGATGGTGCTTAGACTTGAACTTCCCAGGGAGGTGGTCCTTCGTATATGATCTAGTCACATCCTGGATCCTGGGTGCTGCCTCCTGCATTCTAATCCTGTGTTTCCACAGTTAACTACAGCAGCTGCTGCAGTCTCCCACATAAAGGACTCCCGTCTGATCCACTGCTGCCCTTCGAGGGTCCATCCTGTCCACCTACAGTTCGCCGTCCCTCTGGCCCTCCCTACACGTGGGGCCAGAGGCCCTTAGTACCTGTGAGGCACGGGCCTTTCCCTCTCCACCAAAGGCTGTATGTGCTGCATTGCACATGCTAGGCAACGGCACAACTGAGCTTTATTTACACCTCAGCTTCCTCCCCAATCCCAGTGGCCACACAGGCCTCAACCTGAGTCCCTCACATTCAAATACTGCCGGTTGGAGAAGATCCTTCCACAGCCAGGGAAGTCGCAGGGTATGAGTTCTCTTTTGGCAGCTTTCCTGGTGGGGGAGAATAGGGGCAGGACTCCTGCCTGCTCGGCTTCTCTCCTGACCCTCCCCAGAGCCCCATCTCCCCAGTCCTACCTAATTCTCCTGAGCCCAATCTGGTCAGTGTCCTCATCCCAGGTCAGGTTCGGAGCAGACTGGGCCTGACTCCCAGGGCTATGGGTAGCAAAGAAGGAGCCAAGGGCCTCAAGGGTGACACATCCCAGGGCACCCCTGCCCTCTCTGTCTCAGCCATCAGGTTACCTGCCCAGAGACTCTGTCATTTGCGGCTCTGCAGCCGCCTGAGGGGTCC